AGACGGAAAGCTCAATATTTCTTAATATAATATTGAAATATTACAATAGAAGCTTCAATGTAAGAGGTTTAGAAAAGTTTAAAATTGAATTCTTTTTAGAAACTATTTTTTTACTTCAATATTTTTCTAGTTTATTATTTTTACTTAATAAAATTAATTTGGAATATGGAGAAAATTAAACTGCTTGTGTTTACAAGAAAATACAAAATTCCTCCATAGAGACACCCCTTGATAAAGGGGACACAACTATCTCTGAAGGACCGCACCAAGTATCTTGTGGTACTGCTGTGGAAACATAGTGTGGATGAAAGACCCCTACCTGGGGGTTTTCCGCTTCTCTCATTCAATGGTGTTACACAGCTGTTGCGAGACCAATTCACCTCTGCGGTGCAGTACTATACTGGACAAGGGCTTGGAAATCTACCTAACGGAAGCCTATTCACAGGTCGCAAAAACCGGCTGCGCTTTATAAAAACTACTCCAACTGCAGCTCTTGAAATGGTGTTAAGTCTGCCACCTATAGGTAGATCTCTTCGCTGAAAACTGCACGGCAAAGTTCGGCTGGGTGGCTACTCGCTGTAGGAGATTTTACTTATGGAACCTTCGGGCATACTTCGGTGGTGACGGCGGTTCGGCAAGCACCGACTACATCATTGCTCGAAACTGGGGGACGAAGTTGGAAGATTTTTAAGTTGAATGAAAGCCGTAGAGCTAGCATACAATGCAAAAATAAGTAACTTCACAGTTAATATCGACTTAAACAGCATCATGAGAGTAACCTCGGTTCACATGTAGACCAGAAGTGGCTTGGAAAGTATGTTAGCGTTGCCAGGAATGTTTTGCAAGGGCCATAATACCATCGATGGCAATTAGTGATGTACGACTCTCATCCAATAATGGGACCGACATAATTCATTATTCCATGCATTACCTTTACGTCGATCTGGAAAAGAGCATGGCAAGGAAGGACAAAATTCGATCGAATTCTCTGTTGGGAGAAAAACTTCAAAATTAATGTGGTGTGTGGCTTACGAGCCTGTATCAATGTGAGTGTCTAGTTAGGAGCCATCTGTCGCTTAAGTTCTGGTTAAAACAAACGTTTCCTTCCCGAAAAAGGAAGTCTACTAGTAATATTTGATTTTTAAATTTTCTAAATTTTTAATGCAATAAATCAGTCTAATATTGCAATATGAGCTCTATTAAACTTTGTTTGACCTTTTGAATTCTTTGAAAACAAATAAAAAACTTTGAAAGTGAAGTGCAACAAATGTATGCAGATCCTGAAAATATTTAATACAGAACCAAGTGAGACCAATAGAGTAAGGATATGGATTCTGAAYAAATAAATAAATATACATACATAGAGGGTTAAACGAGTAAATCGAGAAATATACTATATACTCATAACATGAAGTCAAATCAAAACTGTTATTTGTGGTGGACGTTGTCTTCTATATGAGACAGGCTGCAGATTTTCACACAAGAAGTAAAACTTGGTTAAATAAACAAATTCACAAATCTTTATACATATATTCCCAGTCTTTTATTATCGAACTTTTTAAAGAGTTCACCAAAACTTCCATCCAACCAAACAAATTAAAAAATTTTCACGTTTTCGTGTTTCTCTTATTACAGAGTGCTGATCAAAAGTAATTTAACATTTTCTTCATTCAACCAGTTTACCAGAGTCACCAGCTTCACTTCCCATTGCCGTAGAAGGTTGTTTGGAGACAGCAGCTTCGGCAGACGCCACTTCCGCCTTGCTGACTTCAGTTTTAATTTCATCTTTAGTTTCCTGTGTAACGCTCTTAACGGCTGGAACTTCAGCCCTGCTAATTTCATTCTTAATTTCATCTTTGATCTCTTCTGTAATGCCCTTAACAGCTGGAAGTCCCGTTGCCACTATACTCGGAGTTTTAGCTTCTGACGTCACTTTTTGAAGCAATGTTTCTTCTATAACATGTTTCTCCAAAGATGACGATTCAGTCTTTGGTAAATCTACAACAAAGGGATAACTGCTCGACTCTTTAGCCTTGCCTTCGTCACTGGGCATAAGACCACTCGAATTTGCGACAACAGTGGCAGCAGCCGCGGCGAGCCGACTTGCCGATTCAGGCATTATGCTCTCCCACTGAAAAATTGAATGTTGAACTTCAACTAATAAAGGGACGAGAGATAAATAGCTATACCATCATAAAAATGCCAACCGTTATCCAGAAGGCCAACGCCAGCACAAGCACAAATTTTGAAAGTTCAAGAAATACGAAAGATATCGGGCCTAGTGTTATTCTAATGATAATATTCCTTAAGCTGTAGAACACATTTTCTATTGCGTTCACCATTATGTTTGGTTTTGTTGGTACACCACAACTACTAAACTGCGAAATTTTGATCGTTTTATTTTTCAATTTTTGAAAAACAAATTTATTTTTATTATTTTTTTTTTAATTCTTTAATTGTCTATTTTTGATTTTTGTATTTGCGATTTCTCTTGTTCCGAATCAATTTTGAGTTCGAATTTTGTTTCTGGGCAGTGTAATAATTTTGTAACGAAAGCAAAATACATTACCTTACGATGAAGAAATTCTTTTAAAAGCGTCCAAACCACACGTAACCACTTTTTCATTACAAAACGAAGTTAATAAATATATTTTCTAAAGTTTTTAATAAACAGTAACTAACAAAAACATAGAACTCTATGTTATTAATTGTCATTAGTGCGACGTTTAGATCTGAAATTTCCAAGTCAACGCATTCTAAAAACTTCACACACAGATGTCTCCATTATACACAAACAGCTGATTTCTATTTTTGTTTGTTTTTTTGTCATTTACTATTTTTCCACTATATATCGCAAAATATTTATTTATCGTAAATTACTGATAACATTTGCTTATATATAACAACTAAACGGAGTTGTTAAAAACTGATTACATTCTACGCTTCGAACTCTATGATACGCGCAATGTCGGATGTGAATGTCAAAGCGGGCATAGAATGCATATTAAAACGCATTGAAGAAGCCCTTGCACGCCGGCCGCAGGTAAATGTCCTAACATATTTAAACTGTGTAATTTGAAACATATGCCTCAATTTATTGTTTTCCGTTAGCATATTAAAGCACCAAAACCACAGCTTGTTGCGGTTAGTAAAACAAAGCCAGTGGAAATGATCATCGAAGCCTATGAAGCTGGCCAGCGACATTTCGGTGAAAACTACGTGCAGGAGCTGGTGGAAAAAGCGCAACACCCTGAAATTCTGAAACATTGTCAGGATATTAAATGGCATTTTATTGGTCATCTACAAAACAATAAAATCAATAAGGTAAGTTTATTAAGGTCTAAACAAAATAACATGCACCTCACCCGGTATTATATGAAAATATTTCGTTCTGTTTTTGCTGAAACATTCAAAATGTGAACAATTTTTATACCCTGAACAACGTATGTTAAGTTACCACGAAATTTGTTTGTAACTAAGGAAACGTCTTCGATCCTGTGAAATATAATATATGTTATACGTATTTCAGCAATCAGCAAGACGAGCTGAGTACGTCTATCTGTTTGTCCGTCTAACTTTTTGTCCGCTTTTATACAAATAGGCGAACTAGTCCCTCAGTTTTTAAGATATAGATCTGGAATATGGTACACGTCCTTTCCTAAAGAAGTCGTCAATTTCTCGGAACCGCCAATATCGAACTAGAACAAGATTCAAACCAGATTAAACAAACTGATCGATCAAAATTATGTGCATCTAAGGAAAACTTTTTTACTTGACAAGATTTCTTAAAGAATTGGCATGGAATATTGATAAAGGCAACGGTGCAATCGCCGAACAAACTGAACGATCACCATCAAGTTATTGCATGACAACTTTTAAATTTGTAAAGGTTATTTTAACTTCGATGCAACTCAAATTATTGTTTTTAATTGTTTTCATTAAATTTATATCATTACTATTTTATTTTTAAATTTAAGGTGCTGAAGCTACCCAACTTATATATGATTCAAACTGTTGACAACGAAAAATTAGCCAATGGACTAAACACCGCTTGGGAAAAATTCCAAGGTGGTGCAAAACAGCCACTTTCAGTTTTAATACAAATCAACACTAGTGGCGAAGAAGGTAAACCCAGCACGGTGTGATCGTGGAACTAAGTAATTATCTAAAAATTTATTTCTACTAGCTAAGAATGGCGTGCCACCAAGCGAAGCTCCAGCACTGTACAAATATATAAAAGAAAATTTGAAACACCTGCAATTAGAAGGAGTTATGACTATTGGCGCATTTGGCTTCGATTATACAACTGGACCGAATCCCGACTTCGTTTCACTTATAAATGTGCACAAACAAATCTGTGAAGAGAATAATCTGGATCCAGAGGCTGTACAAGTATCCATGGGCATGTCTGATGATTTTGAACATGCGGTAAATATTTTGCATGAATAACTTGTTTTTGTCATTTCATACTTAAATTTTGCGTTTCACTTTACTTTAGATTGAAGCGGGCAGCACCATTGTGCGTGTTGGAAGTGCAATTTTCGGCTTTCGTGCGAAAAAGAATGCTTAATGCAGTAATGGTGTAGTTTTTCGCACTAAAGTGTACGATTATTGTATGTATAACTTTCTAAATTTTTTTTATTTTATTTTATTAAAGCTTACATAATAAACACATTGTTATATAACCTAAAGTGCGCAGCGCCAGCATCATAGGTTTTCGGCGGACTTTCTAAATTTAAATGCTTGGACACCTTTAAAACTTTCTAAAACGTTCTCAACTTCTATCAAAATATATTAAAATAAGTAGTGGTCTTATTAGTTGTTTTTTGGGCATTGTAAAATTGTATTCATTGTTATAATATGCTATGAAAAGTGTATGAAAGCTTTAAGCGTTAAGAATGTATGTATATGTATGTGTACATAAATATATATGTTTCACAATTAAAAGCACAACGTAAAGTTCAGATAATGTGTTTATTGTGTAAATGAAAAAATAATAATCCTTTGAGACATAAAATAAACAGAAAAATCATACATTTCGAAATAGTCCAATCCACATATTCCACAAAATTATTAAACAAGGTCACCGAGCCAACCGCCATAGTACTAAGTACCCTATGTAATTAAAAAATATATACATATGTATTTACATTTATGCGGAAGTTTACAAACTGATGATGTATGCATTTTCAGCAGTGTCCCGACATAAATATTTTCTGGGCACCTAATAATCACTACGAAAAATTTACCTATTTCTATTATTTAGCCGTTGATTCATCTCTTAAAGAAATTCGTTGGCCTTTTGCCAGTGAGAATGTTAGTGTGTTTATTTATGCTTGAAAATCTGCTTCATATATATGTACATATATATATATATATACCTATATACTATATACATATGTATGTACAAGTGTGCACTTTTGGTGGAATTCAATCAAATATATTTTGATTTTTACGCTTAAGCGAAATATGCATGTATGTATGTATGTGCAAACATATAATGCATACATGATTCAATATATACCATATATGTATATGTATATAAGATAAATAAGTTTACAAGTATGTAGTAAAGCATTACCACGGTATATAAGAAACTATTTTGCCACTTGTAAGCATAAAGGTTTCAAAATTCCATTGTGTCTGTTCAATTGAAATAGCAAATATATTTTGATTGATAACCGAATGCTTGAGAAAACTATTTTTGGGAGTTCATCCATACATGACATTATTATTATTTTTAATTCTTTTATTACAGTTACCAAAGAAATTAATTTAAATTTAGACAGTTTTTGGCTATATACACATACGTTTGTATGTAAAATTTTTTATGGCTTTTCTAAAATAAAAAATACTTAGCAGTAAACAAGTAGAGGCGAAAGTTTTAAAGCTTAAAAGATCTGCACTGAATAGAAAATTCATCTTTTAAAAATTACTGAAAGTATTTATCTGATTAGGTTGGGTAGAAAATGCTTGTATTCCCTTAATATATGTATTTATGTACGTGTAGGTAAGTAACGATTTTTGTGGTTTCTGCGATAACCGTTTAAAAATTATACACATACATGTCATAGTTAAAGTAAAATTGCTGATTTTTGAAATAAAAAAATACATTGTACATATAAAAATAAAATAATAACAAACGAAGCAAAAAATTACTGAAAGACTTAATTTTTTTAGAAGTATTATTTAGAAATATTTTCTAAATTACTTAACAAGTGTCATGAATTAGAAGTATATAGATACATACTATATGCGAGTTTAGCTGTAGGAAAAAAATTATCTAGTCACTGCTTGTCAGTGTTGCTATGCCATTTTGTGGAACCATCATATAAATATGTGCGATATTCATATCCAATCATACGAAATTTATGCTCGAAGCTGTAAGAAAAAGTAGACATAGCTATTGTTATAGCTTTGCTGGTGCCTTAAAAGGCACAAATAACCTTCTCAGAGTTTACCCTCAATTTAAACAAAACCCAAATTAAATTAAATATTATAATGCCTTGAAAATTGTAAACAACCAAATTGTGATTTTGAAATCATCCCAGAAAAAAATGTCTATAGTAAAATGGTTCTGCTTTAGTTATGAATTTGCCACCAGTTCACCGATAAATTATGCCTCAGGCAAAGTATTATAGATATTTAATATCTTTGAAACAATTTATTACATATTATTATGTATATATGGTGTTGGAAAAAAATAATATGGACAACAGCTTTATTCCCATATTTTATAGCACAAATCTTTATATATTCCTCACACAGTATTGAAGTTAACTGCAACTGCTATTCTAGAAATAGCGGAAATAACAGAACGCTTCAAAATTATGGTCTGTAATGCCTTCAAAATAAATAAAAAATAAATATGAAAAAATAGGACGGCATGAAAAACAACGGCACATTTGTGACCATTTGCTGGTAATGAAAAAAGTATACATTTTTAACGTCTGCAAATATTTAAAAAAAAAATATACTAAATTCATCAGTAAACATACGCACAGTTAGAAACCGACTTCGGGAAGTTGGTCTAACTGTTAGAAATGCAAGAAAAGCTCTGTTTTTAAACAAACTAAATGTAAAAAGAACTGAATTTGCATGTGCCTCTGCTTCGACGGAACTTAATACTTTAGAACACCTATGTAAAGTGCTGGAAAAATCAGTCGGTGGACAAAACTGGAAAAATAAGCACGTATTAAAGAGAAAAGTCCAAGAAGCATGGTATTCAATACCGGTCATGACTGCCACCAACCTTGTCAGCTGCATACTGTGAAGATGTCAGGAGGTGGATAAAATGAAAGGAGCATCAGCAAAATTTTACATTTGAATGAAAGAAAAGTAATAATTAAATAAAATATCACTGAAACTCTTCACATGCATGAGATCAAAACTTGTATAATAATACGTATTTATGGTTGCTAACAATATTTCCTTCGAAGTAGAATCGTTTAGTGCTTTTTGTGTTTCTAAGAAAACTTACCAAAGTGATGTACATACATTTATATTTATGCCATCACAAAGTCGGGATTTCAGAGAAGGAAAAGCCTATCGATTTTATGGAAAAAGCAAATATTTTGGCGTGAGAATTTTCGATTGGAAATTAGGTTCCTTCTTAAGTCAAAATTAGAAGAAAAAGGAACAGTATATATGTATATACTAAATAAGTTACTTTACTGAAATTTTCGTAAAAATCAATTAAAAAAGTTTTCCACACAAGAACTTGATTTGGATCGGTTAGTTTATTTGACAGCTATATGCTATAGTGCCCAGATATCAGCGGTTCCGATACCCCTATTGCGAAAGCCTACTAGAATATAGTTTCCGGTATACCTCTGCCTTGAATACTATAAAAGAATTTCACTTTTCGGGAGACTACTGAAGCCAGTATTCTTTAAAAGGCAGATATCAAAGCTGTAAATAAACACAAAATGGCCACTGCCGTCTTAATCGCCAGCGGTAGGTTATCGATATCCACTAATAATGTAAATTTGCATACTTCCGATATTGTATGTATATAGATATGTAATAAGAGAATCACCCCCACAATAGTTGCGCTATTTCTATTACAGAGTTAGTTTTCAGTAGTTGAACAATGAGTGGCTATTTGAGTAAAAACTTAAGGAAATATTCCTTAAATTAAGGAATTATGTTATCATTTCAATGAAGAAGCACTCACATAAAAACCATGAGCCTAGTTTCTTGCGTAAATTGCGGTTTCTGCGGCAGGGAGCTTGAAACTCCAGAATACCTGCTTTGACTGCATAACAGTCGGCAGATGCAATATGTGATCCATGTTTCAAATTAGGGATGACATAACCAGATTAGCACCTAACAGTATATTGGACTCAATTTGCTGGGGCTAGGTGAGTATTTGTGATTTTAGAGAGGGAAGTTGAAAATTGCACTGCCCGACACTCATATGATTTTAGTTAGCCCTACCCTTCAAAAGGCGTGTTTATAAATTTGACAAGTGTCGGTGCTTTGTGAATTATATTATTTTGAGAACTTTTTTTATTGTGAAAAAAAATGGATAAAAAGGAATTTCGCGTGTTGATTAAATATTCCTTTTTGCGTGGCAAACATTTAATTGTAACAATAACCTGGCTTGCTGGCGAGTTTCCGGACACTGCTTAGGAAAATCAGCCATCAAAGATTGGTATGCTAAGTTTAGACGTGGTGAAATGAGCAAAAAAGAAAGCAGTTTTGTTTGCCACGAACAAATATCAAAAAGTCCACAAAATAAGACAAAGTAAAATAAAATAAGAAAAAAAGAAAGTATTGATTCACCAAAGCAAACAACCATGTCACAAGCTAGTGAAAAAGATGATAAAAATCCATGAATTGAGCTTCGATTTGCTTCCGCATCCACCGTATTCTCCATAGCTGGCCCCAACGACTATTTCCTGTTCTCCGATACCAAAAAATTTCATGAAACGAAGAGTTGATCCCCGAAACTGAGGTTTATGATATTTCAAAAACATGTAGTTTGCTAAGTTAATAGGACTGTCTTAAATTACTAGGCCAAATATGAAAGCGATCTGTCAATCTATTTGTTTACAACAGCTGCTCAAGTCGGTACACGTCAGTAGTGCGTTGGATAAAAATATGGAACAAAAAAATGTGTCTAAAGTTTTGTACTTCTAAACAAATTTTGTGCGCGGTATCGTTACAAATGTTGGAGAGGGCCTACGATGATTCTATTCTATCAAAAACACAAGCCTACGATTGGTACAAAGCCCTCAAAGATGCTGCTTTCTGAGCGACCTTAGACCTTTTCAACTGATGAAAATATTAAACAAAAATTAAGAATATGGTGCTTGAAAACATCAAGGCAGTGTTAAAGAGATCGCAAGAGAGCTCCACATCTCTAGCAAGCCCGTTTGAACAATTTTGGTGGATATTTTGGGTAAGAAATGCCTTATTGCTCGACTCGTCTCTTTAAGCTGACTTTTTTTTTTTTTTTTTTTTTTTTTTTTTTTTTTTTTTTTTTTTTTTTTTTTTTTTTTTTTTTTTTTTNTTTTTTTTTTTTTTTTTTTTTTTTTTTTTTTTTAATAATACTATAAACAGGTCTCTTTGAACATACTTTATCGCGCGAATTTCGATTCATGGAGAGCACTATAGCTGCCGATGAGACTTGGGTTGGTGAGTTTGATATGCAAACAAGTCAACAATCCTCAGAATAGAGGAAATAAAAGGAGTCGAAATCAAAAAAATCACGGCAAAGCTGTTAAAAGTTCAAGTTTTTGCTATTTGTTTTCGTGCCATTTTCGTGGTTTGAAGAACAATTCATAGATTTTACACGATGATAATGCGCCATCGCTTCGAGCCACGATTGTGACCGAATTCAAACATCATCGATTAACCACTGCATTTATTACAGTTAGCTCCGTGTGATCCCAAGAAGTGCTTATGAAAATTGTTTCGAGAACTGAAAAAATCGTTGGCATAAGTGTATTACATCTGG